TATAATGTATATGTTTATATTGTTTTAAGCAGAAAAATATATATTTTTTAATTTCATTTAATTTTTAGAAACTTGTGTTATGTATTATTTTCTGTTTTTAATTTAGTTTTCTTTTGACTTTTAAATATGTTTTAAAAAGAAAAAATATTTTTTGAATTTCATAAAATTTTTAAGAGCTTTATTTTCTTTTTTAATTTAATTTTTCGATTTATATATATTTTTTTCGATTTCATTGTTTTCGAACGAAAAATACGAAATTACATTAATTCTTATGAACTTAATTTATTACTATCTTTTCTTATTTTTTTTTTACTTTTAGATCTCATTGTTCAAAAAGAAAAAATATATTTTTATTTCAGAACTTCATTTATTGTCATGTTTTTCTTATTAAATATATATTTTTTAAATATTATTATATCTTTATGGACTTGTTTTATTTATATTGTTTTTTAATTAAATTTAATTTTTTTCTATTTATTTTTTATTTTAAGTTTAGTGGTTTTAAAAAGAAAGACATTTATTTTTTAGGTTTCATTGCTTAAGAATGAAAAATATTTTTTTTAATTAAATCTAATTTTTACGAACTTATTTTACTATTACTATATTTTCTTTTTGTTCTATTTCATTAAATTTTTAGGAACTTATTTTATTAATACTGTCGTCTTTTTAATTTAGCTGTATGGTTTTTTCTTTTTATAGTATTATTTAATTAATTAATTTTTAGATTTTATAGTTTTAATAGACAATATTTTTTTAAGTTGCATTATATTTTTACGAAATTATATTTTTATTATTTTAATTATTAATTCTTTTTTTTAATTTAATTTTATTTTTATATTTAACTGTTTTGAAACGGATTTTTTTTATTGTAAATATTTTTTTAATTCATAACATTTTTAGGAACTGATTTTATTTATTTCGTTTTTTTAATTAAATTTTATTTTTTTCCTGTTTATAGTAAGTTTGTATTTAATTTTTAGATATTATTGTTTTAAAAAGAAAACTACTTTTAATGTAATAAAATTTTTATGAACATATTTTATTTATTTGTTTCTAATATTTTTCCTTTTTTAATTTAAATTTCTTTATATTTTTTAAATTTATTTATTTAAAATGGAAAATAATTTTTTATTTTATTTAATTTTTCGGAACTTGTTTTATTTTTTATTTTAATTTTTTTCTTTGTCTAATTAAATATGTTTTTTTAGTTTCATTAAATTTTTAGGAATTCATTTCTTTTAATTTTTTTACCTTTCATGAGCATGAAATGGTATTATAACTTTGATCCGATGTTTGTAAGTACCAGAATAAGAAGAGATAGACCCATTAAAATGTATACTTAAATGATCAGAACGGCGAGCTGAGTCGATTTAGCCATGTCCGTCTGTCCGTCTGTTTGTATGCAATCTAGTCTCTCAGTTTTCGAGATATCCGGATGAAATTTGGTAGGTGGGAGTATTTTTAAATATATTAATCATTTGTTGGAACTGGAAGAATCGGACCACTATAACATATAGCTCCCATACAACCGATTGTTCAGATATGAGATTTTTCGTTATAACTTCTCCATTTATGCAGCTAGGAACATGAAATTTCGCACTATTTTCACTCATAGAGCTAAGGAACCGAAGCAGGATTTTCCCCGCGCCAGTGAAGGCAAACCCGGCTTGCAGCTAGCAGCCTCGGTGGCGCCAAAGCTGATGCGCGGGCCTGGCTTCACCCTACACCTTCTGCCTTCACAAGGCCTGACCACAGGCCACCAGCGAGTGCAGCCATCGCTAGGCATCGGAAAGCTGTCATGAATATGTCGAAGAAATCCGCATTGACACCGGTTCTATATAGAAGGGCAATGACTATAGTGCTCGACTATCAGCTGCCAGTGATCGGAAAGCCATTGGCCGCGGAAAAGCGCAACAAATCGATCGAGAACAAGCCGAATAGGGGCAGAAAGCAAGACCCTATATTGCAGGAGTAGCAGAAAACCGAATCCTCCTGGGTATACTGGATGAGAACCAGCGCGATGCACTAGCACTGAGAGCCAATTGGAAGCAAGTAAGACGCCTCCAATTTCCCGGGACGCTGGTTGGTTTCAGGGCAACGTTAAGGTCATCAGATGCTACGATTAAAGGTCTGCGTACTTATACAAAGAGGTGATTGCCAGAATGGGAGAAGCCTACCCAGAAGTGATGCTGCGGGCTGTGGACTTCAAGCATATCGCATCCTGGCCCAGAGTAAGGGCATGAATACCAGCCGAACCGTTCAAACCTGATAGGGAGCTCGAGATTATAAGGCTCGTTAATCCCGAGATACCTACTGACAACTGGAAGGTAGTGCGGCTGGAGCACAAAACCAACCCGTCAAGCGGCCCCTTTACTAAATAAGGAGTCCTTGCCACTCCTTGAAAAGACGGCAATAGCTTTATGTTATATAGGGTCATTGTTTGTTGGAATTCTCTAGAAAAATGTAATCTTGTTTAGAAGATAGAGCGGATGGAAAGGATGGCTTTGTTGGAATAGCGCTTAACGCTTTGCTCAGTGTCACACCTGTTGATCCGCGGGTAAAGTTGCCGTAGTTCGCTCCGCCATTAAGCTTAAAATCTCTGGTTCCTTTTTTAAACCGTCTTGCGAGAACTCGGCATTTCTTAAAAGCTTTGACTTCTTACCAGAAGAAATGGATCGGAGCGTTCCGGGGCTGGTCCGAAGCGGCTCCTTTTCAACACATATCCCTCCAAAGGGCGAATAGCAGCCTCTGGAGTATATGGAGTCCATTACATGTGTTCACGGATGTAGCGAAGTTGGATAGCGGATAAGTATTCTGTCAGGATCCTTAAGCAAATGTCATATTCAGGCTGAGGAATTTGTGTAGCGTATTTCAGGCAGTGGTGGCTGCTCTAAAAGAGGTAGCCGATTGATTGAGCATCAGTGTTTTACCGATTAGTTAGAAGTGTGAATATATACCCTGATAGCCAACCGCTAGCAAGGATGCGCACGATGTCATCACCCCTGACAGGGAAGGCATAGAAGTTATTTTGGCATCTGGAGGACTGCTCCTGAAAGCAGTCGAGCAAGGGACCATCTGCAGCTGGCTAAGTCAGGAACCCACGCGGTGCGACTTTACATCGTCACGAAGTCAAACCTCCGCAGGTTCTAGCTGGACAAGAGAAAATCATCTCAACGCCTCGGAGCATATTTTATCAACACTTCTGAGAAACTCTCCGGAGCAGACATCACCGGCTAGCGGAATTTGGTTTTGTGCACCTAGAGCTTCTCCTGATCTCGCACGGGTTACCTGACGTTATCATTCCAGGAATTTTACAATGTGTTAAGGCAGTGGACAATTTACCTAACGTCTAACTGAGACCTTCTTGGGGATGTCACCTTAACCTAACCTATATCTAAGCCTCGCGCTGACATATGGTAGACTCAAAAATCGACTCATAATGAGGTTTTAGAATAGCGAAATAAAAGCGAAGTCATAAATCTTTAGTGTGACGCTTTCTGTTGCCTTCAAATTGTACTCGTATCTTCAGACTCTCCACCGACAATTTTAATTGTTCGCAAACAAGTAATTATTTTCAATGAATTATTATAAATTAATCAGTCATTTAAACATACGCACACGTACATTTTTATGTCAACACATGGACACACTTACCTTGGTACAAAAATAAATTGATACAGTCAGCATCAACAGCGCCAGAGCGATTGTAATGCGTGATTTCTTTGTTCGCAATTGTTCGTACTCATCAAATAAAGCGGTTAGAACAGACATCATTTGAATTATCTGGGAAAACAAAGGAAATTACAATTACAAAAGTCACTTAAATTGATAAATCAACGCTAAATATGACATTGCATGCGCCTTGCAATGATGCATAGCACCACTCACAATTGCACTTAGTTCGGCGAGAAAAATCATGGCGAAGAATAGAAAACACCAGAAATTTGGCAAACTTGTAAAACTGCCAAAGAGATATGCAAAACAAAGATAAAGAAATTGCATATAATGCTCCTCATCGAAGTGGAAGTGCAGGAAGCCAACGTGATCTGCCGGAAGATGGTAATAACGATTGGCATTATTAATATTTGTGGTTTTCACTATGCTAGATATTTTATCGCGCATTATGTATGTACCTTCGAAGTGATCGAAAGCGATCCGCCCACAAATCATACCCATGAACGCCAACAGCATATGCGTTCCGCTCACCCAGTAGGTCAACTTCTCAGAGTCGCGCTGAAAGCGATTGTGGCTGGCGAGCGTGAGCACGTTACCCCAACCGGGCCCCAGCAACCAGGTGGACATGAAAATCGCTGTGCGTAAACCACCCAGAACGCCGCTAAAGCTACTTTGCAGTGCAGGTTTAAAATAGCCCACGAAAGTGTCCCAGTCGAGTTTAATGTAGATGATGAGATGTACGAAAATTGCCAAGAAAATGGCGAACATGATGACGCAAATGCAGCGAAAAAATTTGCCGATCTGGAAAGAAGGGAAGAAATTAAAATATGTATTGCCTTAAGTTTTTTGTAGAATTATGTATGAGTATCTTGAAAAGTTTACACACAAATGAAACGCGCTTTAGAAGTATGCCCAGCGTGAGTAACCAAACACCCACTACACCGCACAGCACCGGCCAGGCTATCGCATACTCGGATATTGAGTCATCGTCGGAGCGAATGATGTAGCTGTGGGGTAGAGAGATAAAAAGTATTAAGGATTTCACATATGTAAATACTTGTGAAAATTTATATTTTTTTTATCCTTAAAATAAATGCAGATGGTAAAAACCAGGATGTTGTTAGGTGTACCTGACCTAGGGGTAGTTGAAAACGAACGAATTAAAAACATAACGCCTGCTTTTGAAATAATTTTTGTAAAACAAATCGGCAAGTACATGCCA